TTTCTATAATATTTCATTAAATCTCCCAAAATCATCTAAAAATTCATTAAAATCAAGAGAAATTTCAAAAAATGCTACTTTTCAAGTGCTAATTTACAAAAATATCACACTTTTGAATTTTTTTTTAAAAATGCCACTTTTCAAATTTTTTTTTTTATATTATTTATGTTTGGGTTAACTATGTTCTATTACGGTTTAGTTATGAGGGTTTAGGGGTAAAAACATTTTTTTAGTGTTTATAATTTTAAGATATAGGGTTTAAAAATTTATAATTAGTGGTATTTTTGCATATAAACATCCCTAAGTGATATTTTTGCAAATATGCACATAAAAAATGGTAATTTTGCAATTTTTCCAATCAAATCATTTTAATTCAGTTTAAATACTAAATTGAATACACTCCCCAAATTAAAAAACAAATATAAGCTTTTTTTACTATACTTATTTGCTATTTTTCTTTGTTTACTTCTTTTTCACCTCTTCATGTACTCGTCTAATACTCTTCCCAAAAAGAAGTGAAAACAAAACAAAATAGTGGTCATAAATTCATAATTTGAATACCTAGCACCGTATTCAAAATCCAAAACCGAAATCAATCACTTTAACCATATACTAATTAATACCATGAAGTAAAAACTCTATGTGATAAGAAGAGCCAGAGCCCCTCATACATATAAGATCATTCCACTTGGAACACAAGCTCGCATGAACTAGAAGCTCTGACCACACCATCTAATTCGCTGAGCATCTCTCGTCTTCTTGCCAACTTGAAGAGTCTTTTCGCTTCAATGGGATATGCGGTGAAAGTTGCCTTCTTCAACCGTCTTGCGTTCTTTAGAATATATATAGCCACTTCTTTCTCTTCTTCTCTTACCCATCCGTGTCTTATCCACACCAATGTCTCGAGATAAAACAACAAACATTCAGGGACATCCTTTGGTTGATTCCATTTCCCTTGGTCCTCATTTTTTTTTTGTCATAATCCATATGTTCCTTATGAGACGAATCCTACAAAAGGGGAATGCAATGTATATCAATTTTAGACCTTCAAAACTAACCGTAGCTAACTAATAATGAAATGTCTTACATCATCAATGAGCTTGAGGACTTGTAGTTTAGGAGAGCTATCGAGCATTAGCGTAAGTAGATTCCACCACTCCATTTTATGTGTATACATCTCTAGATATACCAACTGATCGAAGATAACTCCAGTCGGAAATGCAATCTATTCACAAGACACTTATTAGTATACACAAAAACGACAATATATAAGTCAATTGCGATAAAAAAACCCGCAAAATTACCTGCAAAGATGTTAAGTCTACGGAAATACGTTTGGTTGACTTGAGAGATCCCATAACCATCTCATTGGCTATACAAGTAACATTTCTAATATTTGCCTCAACAAGTAGCTCGAACGAATTCTCACTTAGACATAACTCATAACCTTTTAAATCGTCGATATTCAAGTACTTCAAAGAAGCAGCATTTATCACATAGCTCATATTATCTCCTCCAGAAGTGGTATCGTGAAGCAACAGTGTCTTCAAAGATGGTGAAACAATAACGAAATTCATAACATTGTCGTTGTAGTGGTAACCTCGATGCAGGACCAAATGTTCAAGATTAAGGCAACTAGAAAAAATGTTACGAACAGAGGCATCGTCTTTGAACACCACATAGCGAATGTGAAGAGTTCTAAGTGAGTTCATAGAAACCAGACAAGGAACATCAAGAAGAACGTGATTCTTGAGTTTCAAGTTTATCAAAACAGAGCAAGCTACATGGGAATCTGACTGGATTGCCATAAAGATAATGAAGATCGAGTAAGAACTCATGGACATGGCGTGTAAATGCAATCCCAGCCCAGATTCCAACATATACATTCTCACATCTATCTCCAACTCTGAGATGCAAACTCTCCAAGACCGGAGCTATGGTTCTCTCTCTTTTTCTAGAGGGTGGGTTACCTTTGTCTGAATCAGTTTTTGACTCAGGTTCGTCATCCTCCAGTTCAATTCCTTCAAGTTTCCCTGCAGCGAACTTAGCTGCTAGTAAACTACCGACTTTGTGGCACTCCTTGGTGGAGTGTCCTCCCATTTTGTGGAGCATGCAGTATTTACTATCATCATAATTTTGATTTTTGGTTCTAGGGGTCACTATGAGCTCTTGTGGGTTTGCCGAGGAAGAATGCATCTCAGCATGCACCTTTGCTAGAGCTTCGATTTCTTCCTTGGAAACTGCCCAGTTCGTAGCTCGATGTAAGGCATCAGCTAGAGTCTCTTCCTTTTGGACTGTTACCTTGGT